AATAGGATTTAACCTGCTCATTTGCATGCCCTCGTCACCTCTAATTAAATCTGTGTGGTGCCACAGTCCTTCCAGTCCCCAGTCCCCCTGGAAATCCCCAGGCTGTGCTGCCAGGATGATGGATGGTGGGAAGAAAACAGGATGGGTCCCACACACAGGAGTGGCCACGGGCATGTTGGTTTTTCCCTCTTCACACTAAAAATAAGAAGGTTGGTGCAGGTTTGTGGCCAGAGCCATGGGGCTGTGGAGGAAAACCAGCTCTTTGTGGCCACAGGGCTCCTGGCCTGTCCCTGGCCTGGGATCACAGCCCAAGATCACCCAAGTGATGGATCCCCTGTTGTGTTGTGATTTCAGGGTTTACCTCAGAACCCCGGGTCCCTCCCCTGATCATTTCCTCCCAGGTGTGTCAGCCGCCTCTCCTTCCCCCTCCCAGCACTGTCTGTCAATCCTGGCATTCCAGAAGGGCATTGAGTGATTGGCAGATCCAAAGGATGCCCTCTACCCCTGGGGGGCCCTGGGCCATCCAGGTGTCCTTTGTCCCTTTGTCCCTCCCCTCCTGTCCCTGCTTGGTGCCTCCCTGCCCCTTCCCTGCCCCTCTCCCCGGGGTTAAAGGAGCAGCAGCCACGGGCTCAGGGAGTTCTGTGGGAGCTGGTGCTGCATTCAGAGGCCTGAGGGCCAGAATAAAGCTCTGGATCCAAACCCTCCAGCAGAACCGACTCCTTTCCTTCACCATCACCTTAAAGCTTCTCTGCCAGAGGGAAACCCCAGGAGCAGCCCCTGTTATGGGGGGAAGCTCCATCCCAGCACCACCAGAGCTCCTGCAGGCCTGGACTTGTCCCCACGTGCCAACTGCAGCACCCAGGCAGCCAAAAGTGTCTGTGGGGTCAAACACCACATACCCAGCCAGCCAAAAGTGTCTGTGGGGTGAAACACCACACACCCAGCCAGCCAAAAGTGTCTGTGGGGTGAAACACCACACACCCAGGCAGCCAAAAGTGTCTGTGGGGTGAAACACCACAGTGCCACTATTTGGTTCAGCAGCAAGGGCCAGACAAGCTCAGGCATGTCCTGTTCAGCTGTATTGGTAAAATTCCAATATCCTCAATGCTCTGCAGCACATGCAGCTCCCCCACTGAAATCCAAAAATAATTCTATTTCAACCTCCTCAAAGCAAAAAGCAATGGTGTGAAGGTCAAGGGGCTCCAGCCCAGAGCCACCAGCTGTGTCCAGCTGTGGACACCCCTGGCTGAGCCAGACATGGGCACATCACTCCCAGGGTCCCCCAGATGTCACCCACTCAGCACCTGCATCATGCTTTGGAAATGGGAGAGGGGAAACAAATCAGCCTCCAAGGATGGGGTGGGGAAGCCAAAGGGTTAAAAACTCCCCAGGGATTTTGTCCTGTTGCTCTGGAGAGATGGGGTCAGCAGCACATGGGAAAAGCCCCAGGGTGCAGAGCCCACAGGGCTGAGACCCCCAGGGATCCTCTTGGGGTGACCCCAAGGGTGCCCCAGGGAATGAGGGGTTCAGTGGCAGAGCTGAGATGGGACCTTCAGGGACAGGAGAGGACGTGCAGCACCCAGTGACAGCCACCACAGAGGGACCAGCAGGGCATTGGGGACCTGGCAGGTGACAGGGACCAGCAGGGTGAGAGAGGCTGGCAGGGTGACAGGGACCAGCAGAGGGACATGGGACCAGCAGGGGACTGTGCCAGGGTGGCCATGCCAGGGTGGCCATGCCAGGGTGGCCATAGACCAGGATGACAATGCCAAGGTGACCATGCCAAGGCAGCCATGCCAGGGTGACCATGCCAAGGTGACTGTGCCAGGGTGGCCATAGACCAGGGTGGCCACGCCAGGGTGGCCATGCCAAGGTGGCTCTGCCAGGGTGACCATAGACCAGGATGACAATGCCAAGGTGGCCATGCCAGGGTGGCCATGCCAAGGTGGCCACGCCAGGGTGGCTGTGCCAGGGTGGCCATGCCAGGGTGACAGTGCCAAGGTGACTGTGCCAGGGTGACCATAGACCAGGGTGGCCATGGACCAGGGGCAGACCAAGCAGGATGTGGGGGCAGGATGACATCAAGGTGTCACCAAGCATCCTCTGTCCTTTCCTGTGTCACCCCAAAACAGCGTGTGAGCCCAGCAGCTGTGGCAGTGACAGTGACATTGGCTTGGCACTGCCACCACCGAGGAGTCCCCTGGAGGGCAGGATTTGTGCATTTGTGCATCTCTGAGAGGCACCACCCTGGGCTGAGCTTTGTGCCACGAAATCCGTGCCACGGCCAGCACTGCTCTCACCCAGGGACTCTGACCCAACAATTCCCCAGCCCCTGAGGGGTTAAACGTCCCCAGCCATCCCCAAATGACGAAGAGACGCTGGTCCCCAGCAATTAGGTGACAGATGCGGGTACACCGCAGCCCGGGCTGGTGACGTGAGGACGGATCCAGGCTGGCTGGCGGTTTGTCTGTCCCTGGCTGGCACCCAGCCCCCGGAGCCACCGCAGCTGCTTCCCGGCCCCTCATGGCACCTGGCCGGGAGCTATGTGTCACCGGGAATTCCGGGCCCTGCTGCTCTGTGGTGCCCCTGTGCCTGGCGAACCCCCAGAATGCCCCGTGGTGTCCCCAGCGGGACAGGGAGATGTCCCCACCGCTGTCCCCTCCCCAGGAGCAGAGCAGGGGCGCAGCTTGAGGCCATTTCCCTCCCTAAAGAAGCTGCGCTTTGGGGTCAGCTCACAGATTCTGCACGTTTTGATGCTGGGGGTCCCCAAAGCTGAAACGGGAAAAGATTTCCTGAAATGGGAAAAGATTTCTGAGTCTCCAGAAGGCTCCGAGCCCCTCCCTGGGGGGGTTGGTGTCCCCTGGGGGCTTCCCGAGCCTGGGGGGCACAGCTGGGCTGGGGGTGCGCAGGGAGTTGCTGCCTCTGACTGGGAATTGAGGAGAAAAACAATAACAACGGGGTTTGGAGTGAATCTACAGCCGGGGCCGTTCCCAGTTTACCCAGTGGGGTGACTGGGAGGAGCTGGGAGGGGGCGGGGCGGGCTCTGTCCCTGTCGGGGGGGGCACGGCAGTAAATCGGGGGGGGTTTGGCTTTTGAGGGGATGCAACCCGAAATCTCCCACGGGGACCACAGGCGGCTCCTTGTGCCACCCAAGAGTGTCACCCAAACGTCCCCAGCGCCAGGGTGGTGTCAGAGGCGCTGGCAGGACCAGGGACCCCGCACATCTGGGGCTCTGCACGTCTCGGGGGGGCTGCACACCTCGGGGAATCGATCGCACATCTGGGGAGTGTCACACACCTGGGGAACCCCATCCAGGGACGGCTGCACATCTGGCGAGGGGTCCCACATCTGGCGCTCCCCCCGTGCAGGGTCGCACATCTGGGGGGGTGACACACCTGGGGGGGGGGGGGGCACATCTGGGGGGACATATCTGAGGGTGACACGTCTGGGGGGGGTGACAATGTGGGGAGGTCCCACATCTGGGGGGTGACACGTCTGGGGACGGCACATCTGGAGGGGTGACACATCTAGGGGGGTGACACACCTGGGGGGAGGGCACACCTGGGGGGGTCCCACACATCTGCTGCTCCTCATGCGGGGTGGCACATGTGGGGGTGACACACCTGGGGGCGGTCCCACATCTGGGGGTGACACACCTGGAGGCGGTTCCACATCTGGGGGGTGACACCTCGGGAGGGGTGACACGCTTGGGGGGGGGGGGGAGGGGGGTGACACAGCGGGGGCCGCGGGAACGTGCTGCCCCCTCGTGGCCGCAGTGGGGACTGCACCCTGCCCCTCCCCGGCCGGGGAAACTGAGGCACGACCGGCGCCCCTTGGGGGGAATTCCCGGCTCCCCAATACCCGCTCTCCCCGGTGCTGCCCGTGAGTGTCTGCCCGCTGTCCCTGAACACTCCCCAAGGGGGTCGCCTGCTCCGTGTAACACTGGGGGACGCCAGGGTCCCCCGTGGGGGGGGGGTCGGTTTGGTCCGCAGACCTGGGGAAAAAAAGCAGAGAGGAGGTGAGCAGGGATGTGACAGCCTGGGAGACTGGGGAGCACAAATGGGACCCTCGGGGACACAGGGGACACGGCCCAGCTGATCCATCACCGCCTAAATTGTACCGGAGAAACCAAAAGGCTTAAAATGAACCCAAACCTCACAACCCTGTGCCGGGAGAGGTGGCTCAGCGGGTCACTCCAACCCCAGAGACACGACCCCGGCCACCCCGTGTCCCCCCGGCCACCCTGTGTCCCCCCGGCCAAGCGGACCCCACGGCTCTGGGGATGATGATTCCTGCATCCATCCTTCACCCAAATCCTGGACCCTCACCCCGGCCCCGGCCCCGGCCTGGCCACAAACCACCCTGGGAGGATTTGCCGGGCAGTGACAGCTTTGGGGTGAGCCCGGGCTTGCCCCGCGGCCAAGGGCACAGAGTCCTGCGGGTGACAGGGTGACAGCGTGACAGGGTGACAGGGTGACAGGGTGACAGGTCCCTGCCTGCCTGCGGGACGTCACCGCCGCCCAGCCCCGGGGCGGGGGACCTTGGGGACAGCCTGGGCCTCATTCCCCGCTGGATGCCCCGGGGCCAGCACGCCCTGCCGCGGGTGGGGGTGCCAGGGTGATTGCGGAGGTGGTGGCGGTGCCAGGTGCCCGTGTCCCCAGCGTCCCTCCCCCGCTTTAACGAGAGGGCAAAGAGCAGCTGGGTGCGGTGCCGGTGACAAGCCCTGTCCCCTGCCCTGTCACCGTCCGCAGGCACGGCCCGAGCAGCAGAGCCAGCACCGAGGTGAGCGGGGACACCCCGGGGACAGCGACCCCATCTCGGGACAAGGGGGGGACGGGGGACCGGGATGGAGCGGGGGGACTGGGGAGGGAGGGTCGGGGCGGTCCCCTGAGCCAGGGCACCGCCCGGGCTGGGGGCTTGGGGACACATCGGGGGTGACACAAGGACCGTGCCCAGGATCCCACAGCAGGACCGAGACGCTCTGGCTGCTCCCCGGCAGGATGGGAGACCCCGTCGGCCGCTGGAGCAGCAGCCCCTCCCGGTGAGCGCCACCCTGGGCACCCCGAGGGCTGGGCGGGACAGGGGGACAGGGCGCGTCAATGTCCGTCTGTCCGTCCAGGAGCGAGTATGACGACAGGGCCCCGCTCCGACATTCCAACAGCTTCGCCCGCCTCACCGGGAAGGGCATTTACAGTGAGTGAGGGCTGCACCCCAAAAACCCCTTCAGGCCCCCCCCCCGCTCGTCCCTGTCCCCTCACCCTGCCTGTGCCCTCAGACCAGCGCAAGGACTACGGGCAGACCCTGCTCAAGCTCCACAACGATTTCCAGCACCACGTTGAGGTAGAAGCCCCCCCAAAGTGCCCCGCGCCCCCCGGTCTTGCCAGGGGCCCGTGTGACACCGTGTGACACCGTGTGACACCGTGTGACACCGTGTGACCCCCTGTCCCCCCCAGCACCTGCTGACGGTGCCCCTGGAGCGGGAGCTGCGCAGCGCCGAGGATTGCCTGAGGCGCCTGAGGGAGCTGCAGGAGCAGGGCCGGATCTGGGGCCAGGACGTCATCCTGGAGCTCACGGACCAGGAGCTGGTGCTGAGCGATGTGGAGAGCAAGGTAACCCCAAAACCCTCCCGGACAGGGCATCCTCTGAATGCTGGCACTCCCTGGGCTATGGGAACCCCCAAATCTCTGGCCAGGGTATCCCCTGAATGCTGGCACCCCAGGCTATGGGGAACCCCCAAATCCCAGACGCCCCCTGGGCTATGGGAAGCCCCTGAATCCCGGTATCCCCTAAATCCTGGGACCCCTGACTATGGAAACTCCCAGATCCCAGACTCCCCCTGGCTATGTGATACCTCCTGGCCAGGGCACCCCCTGGATCCTGGCACCCCCTGGCTATGGAACCCCCAAACCCCGGTACCCCCTGGCTATAGAACCCCTGGATATGGGAACCCCAAATTCCGGCGCCCGTGGCCAAGGTATCCCCTGAATCCTGGCACCCCCTAGCTATGGGGAACCCCAAATCCCAGATGCCCCCTGGCTATGGGAAACCCCGGTACCCCCTGGCCAGGGCATCCCCTAAATCCTGGCACCCCCTGGCTACTGAACCCCGAAATCTTGGCACCCCCTGGCTATGGAACCCCCTAAACCCTGGCACTCCCTGGAATGTGGAGCCTCCAAATTCTGGTGTCCCCTGGCCAGAGTATCCCCTGAATCCTGGCACCCCCTGGCTACAGAACCCCCAAATCCCGGTATTCCTTGGCTATGGGAACCCCCAAATCTTGGCACCCCCTGCCTATGGGAACCCCCAAATCTTGGCACCCCCCTGGCTAGGGGAACCCCAAATTCCGGTACTCCTTGGCTATGGGAACCCCCAAATCCAGGCTGCCCCCTGTCCAGGTATCCCCCACCCCCAGCCCACCCCACTGCTCCCCACCCTGGCAGCTCCTACAGCCCGGGCACCCCCAATCTGGGCACCCCCCAGCCTGGCACTCACAGCCCTTCCCCAAACCCTGCTATCCCCCTCCTGTGCCACCCCAGCACCCCCATGAAACCTCACACCCCACAACCCCGACCCCACAATCCCCCCGCACCCCTTTAACCCTTTCCTAGCCACTGATCCCCCGTGTTCCGCCGCGCAGGAGGAGCTGGAGGCGTTCCCGCTGGGAAGCGTGCAGGGATGCTCCGCCGGGCTGGACAACGCCGTGCTGGCCATCAGCGTCCAGGAGAGGAACCCGGCGAGAAGCAGCGTGCTGCTCTTCCAGTGCGAGCGCCTGGGGGTGAGCCCTGAGCGGGGAAAAACGGGGGGCAGCCCCCCGGGACGGGCTCTGACTGCAGCGGCTCCGTGCCAGGCAGAGACGCTGAGGAGCAGCCTGGAGAAGGTGCTGAGGCAGAGGAAGGAGGAGCAGAGCAATCGCTACAGGCACAGGTATGGGGGGTAAGTGGCTCTGCGGCCCCTCCCTGGACACAGCTCGGCCGGGGCCAAAGTCTCGCTCCCCAAAGTTGTGGTGAGTCTGGCGGTGGGGTCTGCCTGTGGTCCCAAAGCCCCCCAGAGTCCCCCCTGCCTGTGGGCAGAGACACAGCCCCACCTGAGGGGTGAGGGGGGGCCCTTTTCCCAGCGCCCCAGCTCCCGGCTCAGCGCCCCCATCCTGCCCCACCCCATGAACACAACCCCCGACACCATCCATGGGCTCAGCGCCCCCATCCTGCCCCACCCCATGAACACAACCCCCCCATCCTGCCCCACCCCATAAACACAACCCCCCACCCCATAAACACAACCCCCCCATCCTGCCCCACCCCATGAACACAACCCCCGACACCATCCATGGGCTCAGCGCCCCCATCCTGCCCCACCCCATGAACACAAACCCCCATCCTGCCCCACCCCATAAACACAAACCCCCCCACCCCATCCAGGGCTCAGCGCCCCCATCCTGCCCCACCCCAAAAACACAACCCCCCCATCCTGCCCCATCCCATGAACACAACCCCCCCCACCCCATCCATGGGCTCAGCCCCCCCCATCCTGCCCCACCCCATGAACACAACCCCCCGACACCATCCATGGGCTCAGCGCCCCCATCCTGCCCCACCCCATAAACACAACCCCCCCACCCCATAAACACAACCCCCCCACCCCATAAACACAACCCCCCCATCCTGCCCCACCCCATAAACACAACCCCCGACACCATCCATGGGCTCAGCCCCCCCATCCTGCCCCACCCCATAAACACAACCCCCCCCACCCCATCCAGGGCTCAGCCCCCCCATCCTGCCCCACCCATGGGCCCGACCCCCCATCCCATCCACGGGCTCAGTTCCCCTCCCACCCCCTCTTCCTCATCCCCGTGGGCACAGACGCCCCCCGGCACCCACGAGCTCGGCGTCCCCTCATCCCCACGGGCACAGAGCGTCCCCCACCCCATTTCCCATCACTGGCCTCCTCCTCCTCCCCCACACCCACAGACCCCAGACCCCACCCCCGGAGCCAGCCCCGCTCCTGCCCCACACCCTCACACAGACCCCTGTCCCCCATCCCGTGTAACCCCCCCGTGCTCAGCTCACCCTCTGTCCCCCCCACCCCGGTACAGCCGCCCCAAGCTGAGGGGGGGCTCAGCTCAGCCTCTGCTCCCCTCCCTCCCCGCTGCCCCCGCAGCCCCCCGGACCTGCCGCCCAGCCCGGCCCCCCCGTACGCGGCCCCGGAGCGCTGGGCAGAGCCCCCCGAGCCCGACCCCCACCCGCCGGCCTGGCGGGGGCCGCTCTCCTCGGATCACCGTGAGTCGGGGCCGGGGCAGGGAGGGAGCGCGCCGTGCCTCAGTTTCCCCAGAGCAGCGGTGACGCTGGGGATGTCCCCAGGTGCGCCGCAGCTCCCGGAGGTGTCCCGGGGCCGAGCCCCCGGCCAGGCCGTGCCCGAGGCGGACCGGGACGTTGTAAGTGCCCACCCGACCGACCCCTCACCCCTGACGGGCTCCCACCCAGCACCCACCGCCCCCCGCACCCACAGGAGGTCCTCAACCACGTCCTGGGAGACCTGGAGCTCTTCGTGGGCCGGCTGAAAACGGCGCTGAGCTCGGCCAGCACGAAGAAGAAGCTGAAGAAGCCAGGTGGGAAGGGAGGGGAGGGTCCCCGGGGGCTGCTCGGGTGCCGGTGTGCCCAGCCCGGTGCCCGGCCCGGTGCCAGCCCCAGCTGTGCCCCTGCAGCGCTGCCCCCAAAGGATGAGTACACGGATTTCTTCCAGAAGGTGAAATACGCCCTCAACCTCTTGGTAGGTGGCGTTGGTAGGGCTGGAAGGGGCGGCTGGGGGTGGGGGGATGTGGGGAAGGGGCTAAATGGGGATTGGGGGGGCTGTGTGGGGAAAGGGGGGCGCTGGGGATGGGGGGGGGGGCTCAGTGGGAATAGGGGGTGTGGGGATGGGGGATTGCATGAGAATGTGGGGCTCTGTGGGGTGAGGGAGGTGCGGGTGAGCCGAGGGGCGCTGTGGGGTGGAGGGGCCATATGGGGACAAGGGTCTGTGTAGGGATGAGAGGTGGGGGTGGGCTGGGGGACTCTGGGGGGGCGGTGTGAGGACAGGGGGGGCCCTGTGGGGCTGGGGGGGGCTGTGTGAGGACAGGGGGGGCTCTGTGGGGCTGGGGGGGCTCCGTGGGGCTGGGGGGGGCTGTGTGAGGACAGGGGGGGCTGTGTGAGGACAGGGGGGGCTGTGTGAGGACAGGGGGGGCTCCGCGGGGCTGGGTGAGCGGTGTGAGGACAGGAGGGGCTCCGTGGGGCTGGGGGGCTGTGTGAGGACAGGGGGGGCTCTGTGGGGCTGGGGGGGCTGGGGGGGCAGAGTGAGGACAGGGGGGGCTCTGTGGAAACACCTTCCCCCCCCCCATAGGGACGGAGCCACCCCTACGTGCGGGAGCCGGATCCCCCCGAGCTGCTGCGCCTCATCTTCTCAGCTCTGTCCTTCGTGAGTGCCCCCGGAGCGGGTCCCACGCCCCGAAATGCGTGACACGGGTGGGGATCACCCCTCAATCCCCCATCCCGGTGCCCTGCAGGTGCTCGGGCACTGCCCCAGCCCCGGGCTGGCCCCGGCCGTGCAGAGCCCGCTGCTCCTGCCCGAGGCGCTGCAGCTCCTCGAGGAGACCCTGAGCGATGACGATTACGGCGTCTGGAAGAGCCTCGGCACCGCCTGGAACAAATCCAGGTGGGCTCCAGCCCCCGATACCGACAAAGGGCGCTCTGGATTGAGGGGGGGTCCCAGCGCTCACCGCGGTGCCTCCCCCCCCGATGTTGTAGGCCCGAGTACCCCAACAGCGACCGGGTGCCCGCGTACACCCCGGTTTTTTTCGGACGGGTGGCTGCCCCCCGTGATGGAGCAGGAGCGCTGGGGGAGCCTCCAGGACGCCCCAGCGCCTGCCTCAGTTTCCCCAGCTCAGTCGCGACCTTCCCGGTCCCTGCCCCCCGCACAGGCACCGGGCAGCGCCTGGAGGGACCATCCCGGCCAGGAGTGAGTGTGCCCCTGTCCCTGGCCTGCGGAGGCTCGGGGCAGGATCTGGGCACTGATGCAGCCCCTTCCCACCGCCAGATCCCCGCTCCCTGCCCAGGGGCTGGTCCGAGCCCTGTACGACTTCCAGGCCAGGAACTCGCGGGAGCTGAGCGTCAGGAAGGGGGACACGCTGCAGGTGGGAGCGGGCGGCCCCTCCTTGGGTGGGGGACACAGTCGGGACCCCCGCGGTCCTGCCCTCCAGCTGCCCCCCTTGTCACCTGCCCAGGTCCTGGACCAGCAGAGGAAGTGGTGGCTGGTGCAGGACGAGCGGGGGGACAGGGGACACGTGCCTGGCAACATCCTGGAGCCCCTCCCGGAGCCGGGGCACAGCTCCAGACAGGTGGGGGACCCCTCTCCCATCCCTTCCCCTCTCCCATCCCTTCCCCTCTTACCCCCCCCCCAGCAGGGGGTGGCCGGCGGTACCGCCACGTCCCCTCCCTTTGTCCCCTCCCTGTGTCCCCCGCTGCAGGACGGTCCCCCCACCCTGCACCCCAGCTCCTCCCCGGCAGAGGTGACAGCCTGGCTGATGGACAAGGGCTTCTCGCGGATGTAGGTGGTCCCTTGAGCCCCCCTTCCCCGCCCAGAACCCGCCTGGGTCCATTTGGGGCTGGGGGCGAGCCCGGCTCACCCCTGCGCCCCCCACCCCAGCACGGTGCGGACCCTGGGGGTGCTGCGGGGACACGAACTGCTGCAGATGAGCCCGGCCGAGCTGCGAGGGGTCTGTCCCGAGGAGTGGCGCAGGATCCTCTTCAAGCTGTCCCCGATCAGGACATCCCTGGGGGTGAGCACTCCCACCCCCGTACCCCCACCCATCTCGGGACCCCCGGCCCCACGCCCCCTCCGCACCCTCGGGCTGACCTTGGGGGACCTCCCGGCCCAGGGTGTCCCTGTGGCTGTGGGACCCCCGGCCCCTCCTCATTCGTGCGTGTGGGACCCCCGGGCTCGGGCTGGCCATGGGGGGGAGGGACCCTCATCCCCACGCCCCCTCCCCTCCCATCCCCTTCTCCGCAGATCGGTCCCAGGGACTGAGCCACCGAGGCCACGCCGATGTCCCCATCACGTCCCCGCCCCGGAGGGAGCACCTGGGAACGGCTGGACCTGGGGGCGAACCCGGGGGCGAACCCACTCCCAACATCCCACCTGGCCCCCCAAGGCAGAGAACGGCCCCCCCAAAGGAAGGAGGGGGGCAGGCACCCCCCCCCCGGCGGGCTCGGGCACTGCGAAGGGACTTTGCACCCCCAAAATGTAAAGCGACTGATGTGGAAAATAAAAGTGTCAGCAGAGGGGTGTGCAGAGTCTGGGGGGCACCCCGGGGCAGGGAGAGGGACAAGGGGAATAGGGGATAGGGACCAGGGGAATAGGGAATAGGGACCAGGGGGATAGGGACCAGGGCAGGGAGAGGAACAAGGGGGATAGGGCCAAGGGGAATAGGGACAGGGCAGGGAGAGGAACAAGGGGAATAGGGACCAGGGGAATAGGGGAATAGGGACAAGGGGAATAGGGGGATAAGGACCAGGGGAATAGGGGGATAGGGACAAGGGGAATAGGGACCAGGGGAATAGGGACCAGGGGAATAGGGACCAGGGGAATAGGGGAATAGGGACCAGGGGGATAGGGCCAAGGGCAGGAAGGGGGACCTATCATTTCACCCCCCGCAGCACCCAAGGCACATCCCTGGTCCCCACCTCGGCGAGCCGATGGCAGCGAGGGGCCCGGGGACAGGGCTGTCCCCAGCCCACCCCGCTCAGCACCCTGGGTGGGTGGCAGGGCACCAACGCTCCCTCCCTCCCCCCCGGCCTTTGTCAGGGCTGCCTCATTAAAGCTCATTAGGAATGTGCTAATGAGGAGCGGGGGCGGGAAGAAGGGAGCCGCGGGGCTCCTTTACCCTGGGAACAGCACCAGGCTGAGCTCCTGCCCCAAACCAACCCAGCCACACTGGGGACTGGGTCCCATGGGGCAGGGACCCCCCTTGGGGCAGGGATCCCCCCTCACCTGACACCCACCAACCCCCCGGGCACAGGTGGGGGGCACTAAGGTAACCCCCAACACCACAAGGCCTGTGGGGGGCTCAGGGTGCCACATCTAAAAATGATTTATTGCCTTGGGGGGCGTCATGCCAGTGGTGCTGTCCCCCCCCCAAGGGTGGAGGGTGCTGGAGGGGCTGGGTTAGGACTCCCCCCACCCTCTGAGCCCCGAGCTGAGCTCCTACAAGTTCTTGTTGCCCCACTTGGCCATTTTGTTGTTGATGGGCATCTTCTGGAAACGGCTGGACTTCAAGTAGGCAGCCACCTTCTCCAGAGCCTGGGGACACACACAGAGGGTCAGGGGTGCCCCCACCACGGCAGCCCCACCCAGGGGTGACCTCGGGGTGCCCCTGCTCACCCCAAAGCGCTCCACAAAGTCCTTGAGATTCTTGAAGGGCTCCAGGCACTTGGGCTCAAAGATGCGGTTCTGATCCAGCACGTCGAACATGAGGAAGTCCACGAAGGTCAGCTGGGGACATCGGGGGGACACAGTGAGGACAAACCCCCTCCCCAGCCCCTCAGCCCCCTCGGGAGCCCTGGCAGTACCTTCTCCCCTGCAAACCACTTTCTATCCCCCAGGAAGTTGGAGAAGAGCTTCAGTTTCCCCGGGAGCTGCTCCAGGTAGCCCGGCTTGAGCTTCTCCTGAGGGAGGAGGGAAGGGGTGAGGATGGGCAGCCCCAGACTGCCACCCACCCTGGGGAGCACCCTCCCAGTCTGGGGTCCCCAGTGCTGGCACAGGGTCCCCCAGCCTGCAGGACACTCACAAAGTCAGGGTTGTAGCAGACCATGACAAGGCTCATGCGGAAATCCATGATCTGGTTCTCCAGCATGTCCACACGCAGGATCTCCTCCTCTGTCTCACCACCTGCACAGGGGGGTCAGCACTGGGGGCCCAAACCCTCCCTGACCCCAGCCCCACTCCTGCCTGTGGGTCCCTTTAAGCTCCAACCTGCACCCCAGTCCAGCTCCAGCCCCAAACCAAGCCCAACTGAATCCCAATTCAATTCCAGCCCTACTCCAACTCCAACCAAACTCCAATTCCGGCTCCCAACCCAACCCTAAGACTAACCCTACTCCAACCTCAACTCAATTCCAACCCTACTCCAACCCCAACTTCAATCCAACTCCAAACTCACTCCAAACCCAAATTTAATCCAACTCCAGCCCCATTCCAAACCCAGTTTTAATCCCACTCCAATCCCACTCCAGCCCAACTCCAAACCCACTCCAACCCTAAATTTAATCCAACTCCAGCCCCACTCCAATCCCAACTCCAATCCCAAATTTAATCCAAATTCCAAGCCCACTCCAGTCCCACTCCAATCTCAGTTTTAATCCCACTCCAACCCCCACTCCAATCCCACTCCAAACCCACTCCAGCCCTAACTCCAAACCCACTCCAATCCCAAATTTAATCCAACTCCAGCCCCACTCCAATCCCAACTCCAATCCCAAATTTAACCCCAACTCCAATCCCACTCCAAGCCCACTCCAGCCTAACTCAAATCACACTCCAGCTCCACTCTAATCCCAGGTTTAATCCCACTGCAATCCCAGGTCCAATCCCAGTTTGAATCCCACTCCCATCTCAACTCCAATCCCAACTCTAAACCCACTCCAGCCCAAACTCCAGCCCCACTCCAAGCCCCAATTTAATCCAACTCCAGCCCCACTCCCAGCCCACTCCAACCCCAGCTTTAACCCCACTCCAAGCTCACCCCCACCCCTCTCCCCCACTCACACATGTTGTGCTTGCGGGCGATGTAGCGCAGGATGGCGTTGCTCTGGGTCAGTTTGGTGGGGCCATCGATGAAGTAGGGCAGCTGGAGGGACAGAGGGACATGGGGACAGAGGGACATGGGGACACCAGGACAGCCAGACAGCCCCAGCCCCCCCAGCCCCTGACACCTACGTTGGGGAAGTCCAGCCCCAGCTTCTCCTTCTCATTGATCCATTGGCTCTTATCATAGTTGGGAGCTGCAAGGGAAGGGGGGGTTTAGGGGATGTTGTGTCCCCCTAAAAGCCCCAAAAGAGGCTGAGGGTGGTGTGGGGACCCCCTGAGCCCCCTCACCTTCCCCACAGCTGTAGAGTTTGTCCTCATAGGGTGTCTCTGTGTACTCCAGGAGCAGGCGGATGGCGTGGGCGAGCTGGGGAGGGGGATCAGTGAGACACCCCAAAAACAGCCCCCAAACGTGAGCCTGCAGCTGCCTCACACAGGGGGAAACTGAGGCACAGGGCAGGGCAAACTGCACCCCCAGTCAGCACCCCCTGCACAGGGGGACCCCCCCCCCCCCAAAGCAACATCCTCCCACCCCCAAGTGCAGCAGGACCCCACAATTCATCCCAGACCACCCCCAAAAGATCAAGGAGACCTCCCACAGCTTCCCCAAAACACCTGAGGGTCCCCACAGACCCCGCAAACACCAGAGGGGCTCCCACAGCTCCTCCCGAGGTTAGGAGGGCAGCCCAAGACTCCCCAAAACACAGAGGGACCCCCACGGACTCGTCAGAGCCCCCCAAGGCTCGCCCCCAAAGACTAATGAGGGAGCCTCATTAGAGCTCATTAGGAATGTGCTAATGAGGAGTGGGGGTGGAGGAGGGGCCAGAGCCGCCTCCCCCAAAACACCAGAGGGACCCCCACAACTGCCCCAAAGACACAGGAGACCCCCGAACACCCCCCTCAAACCCCCAAAAGCCAGGGGAGACCCCCGGAGACCCCCACAAGCCCAAAGGGACCTCCCGCATCCCCCCACAAGATCAGTGGGACCCCCCCACAGACCCCTGGCTGCCCCCTAAAGGCTCAGAGGGGTCCCCAGAGCCCCCCCAAGCCAAAAGGGAACCCCAGAGCCCCCCCAAGCCAAAAGGGAACCCCAGAGCCCCCCCAAGCCAAAAGGGAGCCCCAGAGCCCCCCCAAGCCCCCACCCGAGTGCAGCGGAACCACCACAGCCCCCACCCCCGAAACCAGCAGGGACCCCACAAACCCCCCCGAACATCCCCGAAATACCAAAGGGACCCCCCGAAATCCCCCAAATAACCGGGGGGAACCCCGAAAACCCCTTAAATCCCCCCAAAACGCGCAGGGGGACCCCCGGAGGCGCCTTTGGGGTGCGCGCAGCCCCTGCCCCGCGCGGGGCTGTCCCGGGGCTGTCCCGGGGGTGTCGGGTCCCCGCTCACCCCGCGGATGTCCCAGTACCCCAACACCGCCATGGCCGCGCGATCGCTGCCCCGCCCCCCCCGTGACACGGACACGCCCACATGGGGGCGGGGCGTTGGGGGCGGGGCTTAACGGAACCGGATTCCACGGGGGTCCCCCTTATCCCAGGGGTCTCTCTTATCCCGGGACTTCCCCTTATCCTGGGGCTTCCCCTTATCGGATCCCTCTTATCCCGGGGTCCCCCTTATCCCGGGGGTTCCCCCTTATCCCCCCTTATCCCGGGGTCCCTCTTATCTCGGGGGTCCCCTTTATCCCGGGGTTCCCCCTTATCCCCCCTTATCCCGGGGATCCCTTTTATCCCGGGGGTCTCCCTTATCACTGGGGTTCCCCTAATCCCGGGGTTCCCCCTTATCCCAGGGGTCCCTCTTATCCAGGGGCTCCGCGCCCCACCAAGCTCCGCGGGGTCCCCCTTAGCCGAGGATTCTGTGACTCCCCCCCTCCGCACGGAACCCTCTTATCCCTGGGGGGTCCCCCTTATCCCGGGATTCCCCCTTATCCCGGGATTCCCCCTTATCGGATCCCCCTCATCCCGGGGGTCCCCCTTTATCCCGAGGCTCTGCGGGGTCCCCCTTAGCAGAGGGTTCTGTGCCTCCCCCCCGCCCGCACGGACCCCCCCCTATCCCGGGGGCTCCACAACCCCCAAACCCCGTGGGGTTCCCCCTTATCCCGGGAGTTCTGCGACCCTCCCATCGTCATGGGAACCCCCTTGTCTGGAGGGTTCTGTGAGCGCCCCGAACTCCAGGGGGTGCCCCTTATCCTGGGGTGCCTGAGGCCACCCCAAGTTCTATGGGGGTCCCCCGTAACAGGGGGTTCTGTGACCCTCCCCATCCCTGTGGCTTTGCCACCCCCTAAATTCCATGGGGTCTTCCTTATCCTGGGGGGTCTGTGGCCACCCCAAGTTCTATGGGGGTCCTCCCCATGCCCGTGGCTTTGTGACCCCCTATATTCCATGGGGTCCTCCCTATCCGAGGGGTTCTGTGGCACACCCCATCCATCCCCACGGCACCACTTTATTCTGGGGGCACTGCCACCCCACAAACTCCATGGGGTCCCCTTATTCTGCAGCCCCTTAAATTCCTTTAAATTCCTATAAAATCCTTTCAATCCCTTTGCAGCCCCTTTAAATTCCTTTAAATTCCTATAAATTCCTCTGCAGCCCCTTTAAATTCCTTTAGGGTTCCCCCTTTTCCTGGGGGAAATTTTCAACCCCCGAAACTCCATGGGAACCCCCTTGTTCTAGGGCTCTGCAGCCCTTTAAATTCCTTTAAATTCCTTCCAATTCCTTTTAATTCTTCTGCAGTTCCTTTAAATTCCTTTGGGGTTTCCTCTTTTCCTGGTGGAAATTTTCAACCCCCCAAACTCCGTGGGAACCCCCTTGTTCTGGGGGCCATGAGTCCCTCTGTGACCCCCCCCCTCAAGCTTCATTGGGGTCCCCCCTCACCTGCAGGGGGGTCTCACTATCCTGGGGGGAATGGGGACCCCACCTTGCTCCCCAGAGCCTCCACGGGGGTCCCCCTTATCCCGGGGATGTCCCCAGGAATGGCTCCCCCCATCCCAGACCCAGGAAGGTCCCACACCCCCAGAGGTCACCCCACAAATGCGGGGTCACCCCAGCTCCCACCGCAGCCCCTCGGCAGCTCAGGGCACCCCACACGGCACAGACAAGGGAGGGGGAGCCCCCCGAGGTTTATTGGGGAGCTCTGGGGGTGGTTTGGGGGCGCAGGGGGGGTCAGCCCCTCATTCCTTGGTGTTGCACCACTTGGCCGTGCGCCAGAAAATCGGGGTCTTCATGAAGCGCCCTGAGCGCATGTAGGCAGAGACCTTGTCCAGGGCCTGGGGACACATGGGGACACGTGGGGACAGGGACACACCACGGGGACAGGGGTGGGGACACTGGGGTGGCTGGGATGGGCACAGGGACATCAGGGTGCTTGGGACAGGGATGTCTGAGATGGGGAAAGGGACACTGGCGTGTTGGGGACAGGGATGGGGACACTGGGGTGGCTGGGATGGGGACAGGGACACTGGAGTGTTTGGGACAGGGATGGAGTGACTGGGATGGCTGAGATGGGGACAGGGACATCGGGGTGTTGGGGACAGGAATGAGAACACCAGGGGGTCAGGGATGGGGACAGAAATGGAACCTGAAGCATCAGGAATTGGGACAGGGACATTGGAGTGTCAGGAATGAGATGGGGACACTGGGGTGTCAGTGATGGGGACACCGGGGTGTCAGGGACAGGGATTGGGACACCAGGAGTCAGGGCAGGGATCACAGGGGTGACAGGAATGGGATGGAGACAAACACCGGGGATTTAAGGACGGGGCTTGGGACAAGGACACAGCACTGAGGTGTTGGGGATGGTGAGGGCACAGCGGGCGGGGGAATGGTGACACCGAGTGTCAGGGACGGAGGTGGGGCCGGGACACCGCGGTGGCCCCGGGCTGTCCCGGCCCCGCTCACCTCAAAGCGCTGCAGGAACTGCGCCAGGTTCCCCTGCAGCTCGGGGCACTCGGGCACGAACATGCGCTGCTGGTCCAGCACATCATAGGCCAGGAAGTCCACGAAGGTGAGCTGGGGGAGGGCCAGGGGTGGTCAGACCCCACAGGGACCCCCCAAAACCCCCCAGCATCCCCCACCAACCTTCTGCCCTGCAAACCAGGGCCGGGAGCCCAGGAACCGCGACAGCTCCTGCAGCTTCTTGGGCAGCTGCTCCAGGAACGCCGGCTTCAGCTTCTCCTGCAGGCAGGGGGGGCACAGTTTGGGGGCTGCTCCCCCCAGAACCCCGGGGCATCACCCCCAGTGCCAGGGGTGGCTCAGTGTCCCCACAGGGGGGATGTCACCGATTTATTTGATGGAAAATCCTTTTGCCAGGACTTTTTCTCCTGAGAAACTGAGAGGCCTCAGAAACGAAATGCAAACAATGGTTATCTGCTGCTGTGGGATGCAACAGGTGCATCTGGGGTTGGTCTCATGGGGTTGTTTCTAATTAATGGCCAATCACAGTCAGCTGGCTCAGACTCTCTGGTCAGTCTGGGTTTTGTTATCATTATTTTCTTGCCTTCTGATGAAATCCTTTCTCCTTCTTTAGTGTAGTTTTAGTATAGCATTTTCTTTTAATATAACATATATCATAAAATAATAAATCAGCCTTCTGAAACATGGAGCCAAGATCCTCATCTCTTCCCTCAAACACCACCACAGGGTGGATCTGTCCCCCCGTGGCCCCCCCAGGGGCACTCACAAAGTCAGGGCTGTAGCAAAGCCGGGCAAAATTCATCCTCAAATCCATGAGCTGGTTTTCCAGCAGGTCCACACGCTGCTTCTCCTCCTCTGTCTCACCACCTGCAGGGTGGGGAGGTGTCAGCCCATATGAAAAATGCATATTTTATGATTGGCTTTTTGCAAATATTAAAATTAATATTATACGTGTTGTGCTAGAAAGTTATGCTGTATTAATTTTTTAAGTAGGGTGTTAAATATAGTTCAGGTTATAACATAATGTTAAAATAGAAACCATGTATGTGAGATATTTTTTTAAGAAAGGAATGAGGCACTTGTGGAGGGGTTTGACAGCTGGCCTGCAAGCTAAGCTGAGTTAATAGAAGTAACAATTGATGATTTTAAAATGTATCCATAGCAAGGAAGAAGGCAAGGCCATCAGCATAGAAACAGATTAGAAAAGATACATGAAATTTTTGCAAGCTAGACTACGTGCCTAAGTAGATGTGTATAAGTGCCTTAATAAATTTCTGTAAAACTTTTGCTAATTATATTGACGTTAATTGCTCTGCACCAATGAATATCATAAATTATTGTGGTGTAGTTAATGACTCTAGAGTGTGCCTTGTTAAGAGTATATAAAATAGAGAACATGCAGAATAAAAACTTTTTTGTTCTTGGACCCTGATCATGTGTGTGTCACATCCAGCCTAACAGTGACAGTACTGGCACTAGACAGCAGCCACAGGACACCTGAATCTGTCAGAGAAAGGGAATTTATTGCTCCATTATCAGGAGAAACGAACTTCTTCCTGCCTTGCTCAGTCCTGAAGATACCGTCAGGATTAGGAGGAAGAAAGTGACACTGACCAGACAGAATCCTTTGTTTTAATGGAATTCATGCATCATGAATGAGGTGTATGAATATGCAACAGGCTGTTGTTTTTAAGGGTTAATCCTCTGTTAACGTGGGTCCTTTTTCACACTTATTTTGCCCAGAAAGAGGTACCCGGACTGCCAATAACTCTTTGTTTTTATTGTCCCATATTGTCCTAATCCAAATTGTCCGAATTATTATTACTCTAATTATATTGTTATTTTTATAATAGCAGTAATATTATATATATAATATTATATATAATGTACTATTATATACTATTATATTATATACTATTATATTATATATATTTTTATTATCATTACCCTTTTAAACTTTTAAAAAACAAGCGATTGGCGTTTTTCACAGCCCACCCCCTACAAACCCCAGTGATAGGGACGCCCCCACTCACACATGTTGTGCTTGCGGGCGATGTAGCGCAGGATGGCGTTGCTCTGGGTCAGTTTGGTGGTGCCGTCGATGAGGTACGGGAGCTGCGGGTGCCGGGGGTGGGGGTCAGCCCGGGAGACCCCCCCTAAACCCCCCATACACCCCCCCCATCACCTACGTTGGGGAAGTCGAGCCCCAGCTTCTCCTTTTCGTTGGTCCAGTCGCTCGGGTCATAGTCAGGGGCTGGAGGGGCAGAGAGATTGGGGGGGGGCTCCCCCAGACCCTCTGCCCCCCTCATGGCACCCACAGCACTGGGGGGGTGCGGGCACTGAGGGTGTCCCCGTCCCCCCCTCAGACCCTCTGCCCCACAGCACTGGGGGGTGCGGGCACTGGGGGCATTGGGGGTGTCCGTCCCCCCCTCAGACCTTCTGCCGCCCTCGTGGCACTCACAGCACTGGGGGGTGCGGGCATTGGGGTGTCCCCCCCCCGCCCCAGACCCTCTGCCCCACAGCACTGGGGGGTGCGGGCACTGGGGGTGTTCCCCCCCCTTCCCCAGACCCTCTGCCCCACAGCACTGGGGGTGTTCCCCAGTGTCCCCCCCCCGCCCCGGGACAGCCTCTGACCCGTCCCGGGACAGACACGGGAGAACGCTGGCCCTGAGAGGGGTCAAGGTCCTTTCACAGGGGGACAAAGGTGACAGCCCCGAGCTGGCGGGAGGGGGTGGCGGGACACGCTGCCAAGGGGGGGCGTCCCCCCCCTTCTGACAGAGCGGGATCGAGGGGTTGGGGGCGGGGGCGGGGGGGATTCGTGGTCACACCCCCGTGCCCCCCTCACCTGGGCCGGGGCGGTACTGGCGCTCCTGGTACGGGGTCTCGGTGTACTCCAGCAGCAGGCGGATGGCGTGGGCCAGCTGGGGGGCACAGCACCCGCTTTTGGCACCCCAAAACCCCCCCGGACCTCTCCCCCACACCCCGGGACCCCCAGCACCCCCACATCGCTCTGGGACCCCCAACACTCCCCCGGCGGTGCCCACCCCCGTGCCCACCCCCGTCCCCAGTGTGTCACTGTCACCCCTCGGTGCCACTCACCCCACGGATGTCCCAGTAGCCCAGTGTGACCACCATGGTGACACGCGCCCGACGCTCTGCGAGAGCACGGACCAGGACGGACTGGGACGGACCGGCACAGGACCCTCCCCTGTCCCCTCCCCGTGGCGTCAGCGCTGCAGGCTCAGTGCCCGGGGCCTCCCGCCAGCGCTGCCGCTGCCACCGCCGCTCGGAATCCGCCCCCTGACCCTCCCACATCACCCTGGGCACCCCCAAACCCAAGGCATGAAGGCACACACAACCCCCTTCTGTGCCTCAGTTTCCCTCTGGGGCTGCGCTTCCTCCCTCCCCTCAGTTCAACTCCAGTGTTTTACTTAAATATTTTTATTTTTCATGCTCGGTTAGGTTTTTTTTTTTTCTCAAAACTTTGTTGTTTTTCTAGTCGCCATCGGGTTTTCCCAGGAATGCTGGCTCCAGATGCAGATGAGCAGCACTGGGATGGGAGACTGCAGGGATAGAGGGGGCAATGCCCCACAGAGATGGGAGAAGCCTGGTCCAGCCCGATCTGGGCCACAAACAAACATCTCCTGGGAGTGTTGGGGACAGGGACACATTGTCACCTGCTCCCCCTTCCCTTCATCCCTGAGGTGGTGAGGATGAAACATTCCCCATGCCACCCCTTGCCTTCCTCCCTGTGGTGATGAGGATGGAGCATCCCCCGCCAGGCACCATCGCCCTGTGCTCTGGGCCACTGTGTCCTCACCGACAGCAGAGACCTCAGCTCTGGGTTCCTTTGGTTGTCCCCACGGGCTGGAAGAGCAGGCTGAGAGGGCACCAGGGTTAAAGGGCATCAGGAGCCAGCTGGGGCTGGGCTGGCACTCCCACGCTGTCACCACAGCGGCACCCAGGACCCCGACTTGTCACTGGGAGGTAAATCCAGGACCCCCTGGCTGTGCCCTCCCCTGTGTCACCTCCTCATGCCAGCAGGGCCCAAGCCAGCAAGGAGACGCCAGTTAAAAACAACAGAAAAAGACAAAAAAACCACCCATAAAACAACCAAACCAAGATGAAACGGAGAGGACTCAACAAACGCCGCGCCCTGCAGCAGCACCGGGACAGCAGCAGGAGCGGGCGGGGGGACGGCGGCGGAGCCCTGGGGGGCTCGGGGGGATCTGGGGGGTCAGTGGGTGCCCAGGGAGATGGTGAGCACGTCCTCCTCCTGGATGGGCTCCAGCTCGGCGCTCTGCACCGCCTGTGTGATGAGGGTCAGCTCCTGGCACAGCGTCTCGAAGCGGTAGCTGACGCGGATGTCGGGAACGTTGGTGCGGCGGATGTCGTTCCCCTCCGGACCCTCCTTCAGGTAGTTGGGACCCAGCCAGTAACTCTTCACCTGAGGAGGGGGGACACAGCCCCAGGGCTGCCCCAGTGCTCCCAGTGCTCCCAGTGCACAGGGAGGGGGAACGGGAATGGGGGAATTGGGGCAAATGGGAATGGGGAATTGGGAGTGGGAATGGGGGAACTGGGAGTGAATAGGAATTGGGAACAAGGGAATGGGCAACTGGGGGTGAATGGGAATTGGGAATGGGGGAACTGGGAGTGGGAACTGGGCAACTGGGGGTGAATGGGAATTGGGAATGGGGGAACTGGGAGTGGGAATGGGCAACTGGGTGTGAATGGGAATTGGGAGTGGGAATGGGAATTGGGAATAGGGGAATGGACAACTGGGTGTGAATGGGAATTGGCAATGGGGGAATGGGCAACTGAGTGTGAATGGGAATTGGGAATGGGCAACTGAGTGTGAATGGGAATTGGCAATGGGGGAACTGAGAAGGAATGGGAGTTGGGAATGGGGGAACTGGAAGTGGGAATGGGAATTGGCAATGAGGGAATGGGCAACTGAGTGTGAATGGGAATTGGGAATGGGGATCTGGGAAGGAATGGGAGTTGGGAATGGGGAAACTGGAAGTGGGAATGGGAATTGGGAAGGGGGGAACTCGGAGTGGGAATTAGGAATTGGGAATGGGCAACTGGGGGTGAATGGGAATTGGGAATGGGGGAGCTGGGAGTGGGAATGGGCAACTGGGGGTGAGTAGGAATTGGAAATGGAGGAACTAGGAGTGGGAATGGGCAAATGTGGGCATTGGGGATGGGAATGTTGGAATGGAGGCAAACGGGAATTGGGAAGGGGGGTGGGCAAATGAATGGAGGAATTGGGGAGTGGAGAAATGGGGGTAATGGGAATCAGGAATAGGCAAACTGCAGAATTGGGAGTGAGGGAATGGGCCTCACCTTGTGGGAGAAGCCGCTCATGAGGACGCTGTTGCGGGCCAGCTCACACATGTCGCAGGAGCTGAGCTTCCACACCTGGGTGGCGATGCTGTACTCCTCCATCAGCGGCTCCTGGGGACAGACACCCCTCAGCTCCCACCACACAGACCCCTCAGGCAGGATGGGGGTCCCCACCTCCTCCCATCCCCTCTACACCATCAGCACCCTCCAGAATCCATCAGTGCTGCCAGCGGCCCCACCTCACCACCAACCCCACCCCACTACCAGCCTCATCCCATCACCCAGCCCGTGCCCACCCCACAGCCCCTCACTGGCTGGTCCCCCCAAATGCTCACCTTGGTGAAGTGGAACTGGAGGGGATCATCAGTGGAGAGGGAGACCATGAGCCCTCGTGAGAGGTACTCGGGCAGGGGGTTGCGGTGGTAGCTCAGGAAGAGGCTGTTGTTGCTCAGCGGGGACATGGCAATGCCAATCTGTGCCAGGTAGTACAGGTACTGCAGCACAGGGGCCTGTGGGGCACAGCAGGGTAAGGGGGGGTCCCACCACACCCCCAGCCCCCCCAGACACCCCGTCCCCACTCACCTTGCGCAGCAACAACCCATGGGAGATGTTCTCTGACACCATGAACCCCGACACGAGGTGGTGGATGGGACCAGCCTCACCACAGTGTGGGCGCAGGACGAAGGTGTGGAAGCCCCTCTTCCTGCAAGGGGTGTTTGACTGTCAGCATCACCCTGTGACCTCCCCAGAACCTCCTGAGGGGCGCAGGCTCCTGGCCAGGAATGGGGGATTTGGGGATGTCCCATGTCCTCACCGCCGGAGGTGGTTGAGCACTGTCATGTTGGCATACATGTAGTACAGGTAGTAGGAGTAGGGTGGGTTGTCCTCCTCCACCCAGTTGCCTGGCAAAGGGCTATCCAGGTTGAAGATGTGATGCTCTGGTTTGGATTCATCATCCACACTGTCAAAGCCATCCACCTGCAGGACAGACAGCCCCAGGGTGGGATGCCACCCCTCGCTCCAGCTGGGTTTGGGCCGGGGTGTCCCCAGGAACAAGATGCAGCACTCACATGCTCCAGGAAGAGGTGCAGCTCTGGGTGCTGGGCTGGGTGGATCGTGGCCTCGTAGAGCGGCAGGAAGATATTCTCCAGCATCTCCTGGAAGTTGGCCAGCTGCTTCTTGGTCCGGTAGATGTCACTGCAGGGAATGGACCCCACTCAGAGCCGGCTTTCCTGCTCCCCACCCCACCCCAGCCAGCAGTGGGTGTTGTGGTGTGATGTAATTGCCTGTCTCAGTCATCCCTGTTCTTTCCCCAGGTGTGCCAATAACCTCTCCCTTCCCCTCCCTTGCCCCTGCTGAGTGCTGTCCGTCAATCCTGGCATTCCAGCAAGGGCGTCAAGTAATTGGCAAAGTTCAAAAGCTGCCTCTCAGCCCTGGGGACATTGGGCCATCCAGGTGTCATTTGTCCCCTGAGACTTCCCCCCCCTTACCTGGTTGGTGGCTCCCTACCCCTTCCCTCCCCCTCTACCCGGGGTTAAAAGGAACAGCAACCACGGTGTTCGGTTCGGTGGTTCTGTTGGAGCTGGTGCTGGATCCAGAGGCCTGTGGGCCAGAATAAAGCTCTGGATCCAAGCCCTCCATCAGAACCGACTCCTTTTCCTTCACCTGGCCTTGAAGCCTCTCCACCAGAGGTAAACCTGAGCTCCTGCATGCCTGGACTTGTCCCCAGTGCCCAGCTGCAGCATCCAGCCAGCCAAAGGTGTGTCTGAGGTGAAACCACCACAGCTCCTACCCATGGTCAAGCAGCAAGGGCCAGACGAGCCCAGGCACGTTCCATCCAGCTATATTGGTATTTAATTCCGATAGTGGGGTGGCCTGCATCCCCCCAACCCAAGTGAGGGTTCCTGTGCCCCCTTCACTCACAAGAGCCGGGGCACCTGCACGAGCCAGCGCACGTTGTTGGAGTGCACGCGGTGGCTGACGGCCCAGCGGGCCAGCTTGTCCCACTCATCCCGCGAGCGCCCGTAGATGGACAGACGCAGCTCCGCGTTCTGGTACTTGCTCTCCTCCAGGTCTGCCATCACCTCCTGATGGGAAGGGACAAGCGACAACTGTCACTGCTTGGCCACCAGAAGGGGACATGAGTTATACCACCACGAGGAGGGGAGGTGGCCCACCTTGATGATGTGGGCAAAGTACTTCCCCGAGACGCGGTTGTCTGTCTTGATGAAGATCTCGCGCAGGATGGACTCCCCGATGGGGTTGTACTTGGCGTTGAACTTGTCGAAGCGGTGGAAGGTGTTCCGGTCCTGAACGTGGGACAGGTGTGACCTGAGAGTCCTCATCACCCACCTCAGCCCCCACCAACCCCCTGTGCCCTGGGAAAACCTCCTGGTGAAGATCCCACACCCCAGCCAAGGATGGGGTTCACTCATCCCCAGGTTTGGGAGCCTCCCATACCGCATGGACATCCAGTGTGTCCACGCTCAGGTCGTAGGCTGTGAGGTTCATCGTCTCAAACACCTCCTTGAGCGTCTGCTCCTTCCCCTTCTCCACATGGACGATTTCATCCAGGTGCTTCTTCATCGCCCGCTTGATGAAGCGCAAGAGATGCTTCTGGTTCATGCAGGACGAGGCATGGATGTGGGTGTCCACCTGCACCAGGGAGGTGATGCTCAGCCCTGGGACCCTCCAAGAGCTCCCCAGTCAAGCTAGGAACCCTCCAGGACCCAGGACTAGCTCAGGATCCCCAGGTACCTTGCGGATGTTGTAGAAGTCACGGTGAGGCACCTTTTTCTGGGCCGCCAACTCCTTCATCTCATTGAGCAG